CACAGTTAATTGGACATAATTTATCTCTCGTTAGAGGGCAATATTCAAAAATAAACTCAAACGTTAATTAATTTTAACCAAACTTATGAAGCTTTTTGCAAAAAAATGACTTGACAATGACATATTCCATGTGTAAAAAATGTAGTAAATACTATAGTCTAAGAGAAACAAAACAACGTTTTCGAAAAAGTATTTTAAGACGTCTGGCTCTTTGATATATCTTTTATTGTGCTCTCTGGAAGAGCATGCGGCCCGTCTGGCTGCCGATACCCGTCGCGTTCACTACTGCGCATCGGAAGAAGATCCTATATTTTTTTATTAATTTAGTCCTATAAATTCTAGTATTGAATATAAATCGAACATGTCTCCATAGCGCAGCGCGTAGATTTTCCGACCACGAACCGATGATTCAGAGTTCGAATCCCGGTCAGGGCAAAGAGCTTTTTTATTTTATTTTCGTTTATATTCTGTCTGAGTAAAGTATTAAATAATTCTGGTGATTCAAAAAAAACAAATATTTAATACTTTACTATCAGAATATAAAATAAAATAAAATAAAAAAGTCTTTGCCCTGACCCGGATTCGAACTCTGAATCATCGGTTCGTGGTCGGAAACTCTACGCACTGCGCTATGGAGACATGTTCGGTTTATATTCAATACTAGAATTTAAAGGACTAAATAAAAATATAGGATCTTCTTTCAATGCGCAGTAGGGAACGCAACATTTACCGGCAGCCAGACGCGCCGCATGCTGTTCTAGAGAGCATAGTAAAAGATATATCAAAGAGCCAGACGTCTTAAAATACTTTTTTTTGAAAAAACTACAATCAATTATTTTGAATAGATTTCGAGATAATCGATTTTTGAATTCAGAGTTCTAATAACGCGACCACTGTCGAACACCAACTCAATTCCACTTATTTTTACCAAAAATGCAAGTTTTTCTAATTTGAACTTAAACGTTTTCAAGCTATAGGGAAAATTACGACTCGTTAGAAATAAACAAAGTATAGCGAGACGTAATTAAATCGTGAAGCTGAACGCATGAGGTACACATTTCCCTAGAACTTTAAGTACTGACAGAGGTAACCATTAACAAACAGTAACCATTGGGTCGTCCGATCGACTGCGACAAAATCTGTTATATCCTATCCTACGTCTCTTCGCAACGTGCACAGTTTCTCGGTTTATTTCATTCGTTTGGCAACGTGTTTACTGTGCTCTCTTTATCTAGTACATTATAAACGCCATTGTACTCTTCTTACATATGGAAATCTCGACCCAAGACAAACCTTTGCCAGCCCCTAGTAGAAAATATTACTATACTTAAATTTCTAATGACATCTACATATATCTATTGGGAATATAATCTTAAATTTCTTAGTAATAAAAATATATTCCCCATACAATATATCTAATTTGTTTTAACTTAATCAAGATTTTGAAAAAATATTTCGGGTTTATTAAAACGTTTAATAATGGTGCTATTAATCGATGGATCCCTCTCTATACCGGGTGTTTCTCAAGAGTGGCTAACCCCTATAATTTTTTATTTTTTTTAGAGAAAACACGAAATTTGGTATATTAGTATATATGACATAAATCGGAATTGATTGACGTATTCCATTTTTTGAGGTTTTCAAGTTTCAGTCATTTTTCGGTTTAAAATGTAAAAAGTTGACATATATCATTCTATTCAGAATGTGATTTTAAAATAAAAAAGTTATAGGTGACTTTTGAAAAACACCCGGCATTACCAAAGAAAATAAGAAGAATCCTTCCTTATTTATAATGCACAGACACATTGTCGTTTGTTTAGATGTTAATTTCGATGCTCTAGTTGTTTAATGACTATAATAATAATATATTCATACACATTACTTTCTTATGCACATAAAATCTTGATCGATAAATATGCGGCTATATAGTAAAAACTATTTGCAGAAAAAATGCATCAGAATGTTCTTACTCCAAGCCACTACTGCATATCTATTTTTAAACGGATAATGTCGTTTATCAATTTTTTTCCTCCTCTGCAGTAGCGACAGCTCATTTACTTCGGCCGTTGCAAATAGAAATTTACTACTTTAAGCCATCGTTTGCAACTCACGCCATTTATCATCACATCAAGCTAATTTTTTTTTCGCCCCGGTGTAAAGTAAAAGTGTTGTAGCAAACCAGTTAAACAGAAAAAGTCTGAGTGTGATTTTAGATTTAATAACGAACATTTAGTATATTAATAGTTATTTTTTATAATAGACGATAAAATGGTATTTTATCGTCGACCGAAAAGATTAATTAATTAATTTCGGAAGACGATAATGCAATTTTATCGTCGTGTATAAAACAATATTTTTTTCCATAGCGAGTTACGTTTTAAAAAATATTCAGAAATTATTATTTCAAGGAATTTATTACGAGTAGAAAAAATATTGTGCTGGGTTGGCGTTGGTTTCTATGTAATTTGACAAATAAATAAAACTGTCTCTTTAGTTGTTAGTTTTGAGTCAATATTTTTTAATTCTCTTTCGTGTCGATTGCTGATTGAACTGGAGCCAGAAATGGCTCAAAACGAAATAAGTAAATTACGAACAGATATTCAGGCTGATGCGACAAACGCCATATCCAAACTACTTCCATTTAAATCCCGAATAACATATGAAAAGGAATACAAAAATTTTGAAAAATGGAAGCAATTAAAAAACGTGCGAGAAGAAATAAAGTTTTTAACCTATCCTCGCTGTTAAAGTATCATTTAATCTACCCTTGCGGTTAAAATACTATTTTATCTACTATTTTTGATAGATATAAGGCAATTTTAACAGTTGCTATGGAAAAAAGGAATTAATTGACCCCTTCAAAATACAAAATTTATAACGAAAATTGTAAATAAGTCGGGCATATATTACAAATTATGCCATTAAATAAGAACTATGTAAATAACAGTCAATTAATGTGTTACACATAGAGCTTAATGATCGGTTATTATTTCAATATATGAATATTTAATTATAACTTCATATTTTATTACAATCAGTAACTAGAGCAATTTTTTATGTCGTATATACAACGTTACATTTTAAATCCAAATACAGACCTCTTGCAGAATCCAAAGGTTCAAAGAATTATTTTATTCAACGTTGATTATAGCAGATTGAGAATAGAAGAATAGAAGATTGGTAGAATATGAGGAAAAAATTGATGTCATGGCTCCCAATCAAGTATTATTAAATGGTGATCTATTGCAGTAGTAATATACTTCTGACGAGTTTTCATTTTTTAAGAAGTTACGAATGGTATAAACAAAATAATTAAAAATAATTTGAGCATAGTGTAATTCTCAAGAGAACTTTTTACAGTTTTTTACAACTGTCATATACCGGGTGCATTTCAAAAGTGGCTCACCCCTATAACTTTTTTATTTTCTCAGATAAAAAAACAAGATTTGGTATGTTAGTTTATGACTAAAATTAGGATTGATTGACGTATTCAATTTTTTTTCGTCACCTCCTGTTTCACCGCAAATGGATAATTTTTGATTTTTAAATGGCACCCTGGGTATATTTTTACTTTATTCCATAGAAAATATATCGTACCTATATATTTTCGTATATATCATGTCAACTTTTGACATTTTCGCTTAAAAATAATCTTATTTTAAATCTCAATCTAGAGTGCCATGGCTGTGTTAAAATCATTAATTTTTAGCCAAGGCGCCATGGAAAAATAAATTTGGTCATCTAATGTTTTTCGTGTCTTGTCCTGGCCACAATATATAAATTATATCTCATTTTTTTTCAAATAGAACACGGGTGGCCCATTACCAGATTCAGAAAAAGCATTTTTTACGAATAATTTGGTACTACACACTTGGTATTTCGAGTTAAATTGTCGTTATGAACTGCATGCTGCAATTTCAAAAAAAAACATATGAAAAAATGTCAAAAGTTGACATATGATATGTTCTATTCAGAGTGTCATTTTCTAACAAATAAAGTAAAAAAATACCGAGGGTGTCATTAGTTGTAGTTATTTCCTGTGAAACAGGAAGTGACCGAAAACAAATGAATACGTCAATCAATCCATGTCAATTTATGTCATATACCAACATACCATAAAAAGTTATAGAGTGAGCCACTTTTGAGATGCACCTGATATGTGTTCTACCAGATTTACAGTGAAATTAGTTTTTTAAGTTGAAGAGTAGATTAATACAAATACCAATAACCCGTCTGCAATGCTTCTAAAGCCATTACAAAAATGACCACAAAACATTGGACGGTCAAAAGATTTCCAGAACGGTGGAAAGCCCCACCACTCAGAGACTGGCTAAACATTTCATAGTACAACATTTCCCAACATTTGTGGGAGAGCCTATAACTAAAGACAGAAAATCAGTCAAAAGCAATGGATCTACTAACAGGGCATTGCTAGCTCAATAGGCATTTAAAGCTGATGGGATTAACAGGGAAGGCCTGTCAATCCAATGAGGAAACGACAAAGCAAAACGACAAAAAATTATTTTTTATCAGTACGACCGCCTTGGCAATGTGCGATTGACAAAGAGCTATATAAAGGCTTCTTTATAGTTCCCAAATTATTAGATTTTGTAAACAGGACTGAAAACGACTGAAGCATGTGGTCTAGAGATCAGACAACCATAACATATTTGAAAAGGTCGTAATGAATTAGACCCATAGGCTCATATTATCATAGAATCTCATAACTAGTTTAACTAAGTGTATAGAATGGGTAATACAAATCAGATATGAAAAAACCATGAGCGTCATCACCTATAGGCATGATCATGATTGACCTAAAAGAGAAGATTATTGGTGGCATGACGCTCGTGGCTTTTTCTTTATGGTGACTGATTCGTTATTGTTTTTCATCCTATTTTGCATTTTCTTGAATATGGCTGAGATTAGATTATCGCAAAACTCTAGTATAGTTGGTTCTCGTGATGCTTGTAATAATATAAATAACTGTGTTAACCTACCTTGTCCACCACCAGAAGGCGGTACTTTGGCGCCCAGTTCCGGCTTGCCAGCCGCCCCGACAGCCACCGCCGCCCCCGTGGGTCCCGACTGGACGGCAGTAGCGTCGCCCAAGGCGGGTGCCACAGCCGCCGACTGTATAGCTTGCGGCGGATGATGAGGCGGCTGTTGGGCGGGCGCGGGCGAAGGTGCTGGCAGGTTGGGCGGCGTGGGTGCCGGTACCGGACTGCCGCCCTGTGCATGTGGCAGCCCTTGGTGGGGCAGGCCGGGGGGCAGCGCCCCAGGGAATTCGTGCTTGCGCGCCGACGGCGCCGAGGGGAAGATCACGGAGCTGGCGTCGGAGCACTGAAAAAAAATTATAAAGTTATTAATATCTTTATTTATTAATGAACTAATATAATCTTACTTATATCGTTTTGGTTACGATAACCATAAATAAATTCATAACTCCCATAGAATATTATTAACGGGAATTAAAATGTCATAATTCCCCCCCTCTACCTTTTATATTATGTAACAACCACAGAAAACAATAGAGATTTTGGGTAATAATATAAAATAAAAATGGACACTAATCTAACTATACTCTAATGCCGGGTCCAGACCAAGCAGAAAAAACAACGACAGGACAGAAACGTTCATGTTTTACCACAAAATTGCGACAAATCCAATACATTTCTGCGATAGTTTTGTCTCATTTTTGTTTTGTTTCAAAATTCGGAGACTTTTCAAAGTCCTGTCTCGAGTCGGTAAAGATCAAAGTATCTATGTTTTGTTCGTATATTTTACGACAACTTGTCAGCGCAGTGTGGATGGCGTGTGCTGCCAACAGTAGGAGACCAGTCAAATCACACATGGTTAATAAACCTCATTCACAACAACTAAACTTTTGACTTTGCTGAACTTTTGTCTTTGCGGTGTGAACAATTTGTCTCAAGTTTGTCTTAGTTGTAGAAGTACTTAAGGCTTGTCGTGGTTCTTCAGATTTTTTTAATATTTCGTCCAATTTAATGGAAACGTGTTCAAGTACGTTTGAACGTAGTGTGCCGAATTCGTGCGAAAGGGTTTTTTTGATAAAAAAAAACTGAATTTTAAACAGGTCATTTAATACAATAGTAATCTGGCAACAAAGTTCTTACCAGCAGCGTTAATATAAATATAACGGAAGATTAATAAATGCAACATTTGTGTCTTTTAAAAATGGGACAAAATATACTAAATTCGGTAAGAAATAAAATTACCGCAGCCGCCATGTACCACGGGAATTATAAAGTATTAATAACTTCGGGCAATTATTGTCTCTCGGGCCATAGGCCCTCGGGATAAAAACTTTGCCCTCGGCCCTCGGTAATAACATCCTATAATTCCCGTGATACATAAACAACTATAAGAAATCCGTGAGAATTGGTATGTAATTTTCAATTGAATATGTTAAAAGGCTATTAATTCCTAGTGACTCATTATAAAGGACATATGGGACATTTATGTCATTTATGGTACAATGTAGCTCAAAAACATAAAAAAATACAGCCTAATAAATGTGCAAAATAAAATGATAACTAACAGACACATCATTAATTATCATTGAGTTACTAATGCAAAACTCATGTTTAAAGCATAGTGCAGGCATGTGATTCAAAAAATTCCAAAGGATCTTCATGCATAACAAATTATAGGAGTTATAATATACAATCGAAAAAAAAATGGCATCAAAGACGACTGGGGAATGACAAACGATAATAATTTTAGCGATGTCAAGCCCTAGACGTCATACTTGGTCAGACTTTTCTTTATTTTTTAATGGCGCATACACTGCCAGTTGGCCTGAAGAAGGTTGTAATTTATTTTTATATTGATTAAAAATTATTTATAAATGGTGTAGTAATCATCATCATCATCATTTAGCTTATACCGTTCACTGCAGAACAAAAACCTCCCTTAACTCTAGTCATTTCCTTCTATTTTGTGCCACTTGAATCCAGTTTCCAGCCACCCTCTTAATGTCATCTGTCCATCGACTAGGAGGTCGTCCTCTGCTTCTATAGGCCTCGTGTCTCGGTCTCCATTCCACAAGTCTCTTTGTCCACCGTCCATCTGTCATCCTAGCCACATGTCCTGCCCAATTCCATTTAAGATATCACCGCATCTCTTACTCCTGTCCGATTTCGTATTGTATGATTAGGTATTTTATCTCTGAGTGTAACTCCCAACATGGACCTTTCCATTTTCCGTTGCATGACCTGTATTCTATGTATGTTCTTTTTTGTCAAAGTAAGCGTTTCAGCTCCATACGTGAGGACAGGCAAGACACACTGGTTAAAGATCTTTCTTCTTAAACATATGGGAATATCAGATCTCAGTATATGCCTTAGTTTGCCAAATGCCGCCCACGACAAACCTATTCTTCGTAGAGTTTCGTGGGTCTGATTATCCCTTCTAATACCGATCTCATGCCCTAAGTATTTATATATCTGCACTTGTTCCAAAGGTATGTTATTAATGTTTAAATTTCCACTTAGTACTAGGTTTGTCATGTATTGTGTCTTTGACAAGTTAATTTTCAAACCGACTCTTTTCGAAGCATCATTCAGCATATCCAGTAATTAAGGTTGTTAAGGTGTAGTAATAATTCGAGGAAAAAGATTTTTATAGAAATGGATTTGTGTATCTGAAAACATTCTATCCTTTTTTAGTACTTCTATAATTAGTGATAATTATGAAAAGTTTTAGTAAATGACGTCTAGAGATTGACCTCGCCAAAATTATCATGGATTGTGATTCTCCAGCCATCTTTGACATCGTTCCATCATACGGAATTTATCTAAAAAAATAATCTGATCTATGATAATTTTTCTTAATATTTTTTTACCACACAATTTCTGTCATTCATTTACTTTTATATTATTTTAATTTAAATATTATGTCATTTTCTTGTCTTAAAATTGTGAATAAAACATGACCTATATACACTGTCTGAAATTAACCGTAATATTAAAATAACAACCTTAATTACCCCTAATCAAACTCGCTAGAATTATTTCAAAAGTAATCATTAAAGTGCTAATTTTGTCCTATAAAAGTAATCAAATTACTGTGTAATTTAGCGACTCGAAAAATAAGATTGCGTCGTGTTTTTCCTTGTTATTTTTAATTAAAAATGAAATTAAGACCTTAATCTTAAGCACTATAAAAGTATGCAGTGTACGGGAAAATTTAAATTAAGCTCATTAAAAATTAAAAACATAATTTAACGTAAAATTAAAAAATATTTCAGCAGCAGTTTTAGTGAGAGTGCTTTATTTTAGTTAATAGAGTACAGAATTTTGTAATTTAAATATTAGTTGAAGATTTTTAATATCATAAATAATTTATAGCATATTGCACACCGAGGTGTTTCATTACAGTCGAGAGATTGATATTGTTAATCCAGACGCGGTAGCGTCGAGATTAAATCGCGAGGCAATAATGAAAACTTCCCTCCTAAGTTTGTATACTATTTTTTTTACAACCACATCATTAATTAAAAAATAGAGACAGTATTTTATTTTGAAAAAAAATAAAAATGCGAAGATTTGTCGTTCTCTGTTTTGGCATTTCCATATCTATTACCAATGGTTGTTATGGCGCAAACCTTCAACAGCAAAGCAAACGACTAAATGACAGTTCTGAATGTCTCGTTCGCTTTGTCGCGCTATTGTCGGAAAGTTCTGATAATGAATACTACTTTAATATTGGTACTCCACCAGAACTTACAGAAGCTGCAAAAAGAGCAAAAGCCAGTTTACTTCCAGAGAAAAGTAGGGGGCGATATGAAATAGCATTGAGAGTATATTAAAAATGGTGTGCTGAAAGAAATGCTAAGGATATTGCTTCAGAGACAGTCTTGATGGCATATTTTAGCGACATGGCAAGGCAGAAAAAGCCATCTACTCTTTAGGCTACGTACAGCATGATACGGACAATGCAGGGAAAAGACTGACATGTCAAAATATCACAAACTCGTCGCTCTTTTAAAATGCCAGAATGTAGGTTTAAGTCAAAGAAGTCTAGCATTTTTACCAGGCAAAACTTTTCAACAAATAATTGTATTAAAATCTTCAATTGTTATTTTTAATCTTCTTATTTAATTTTGTTGAAGTTAGATAAGTATTTAATAAGGATATTACAAGAATAGTTTGCTTAATTAAATGAGGCGAGAAATAAGAAAAACCGAGTGAGGGAAATAGGTGAGGGAAATGGAAGGGGGAAGAAATGTAGATTATTTGACACTTTCAATTTTTTTAAAAAGCAAGTAATGTCAGTATTACATATATGTAGTTAATAAATATATATATAATATATATATATATATATATATATATATATATATATATATATATATATATATATATATATATATATATATATATATATATATATAAATAAACTATATTTATATATTATTTCATATACCGACTGGAATGTGTATTAGCAGTCATGACCTATGCATGCGAAACTTGGACACTTAAAAGGGACATTATAAGGAAACTATAGGTTGCACAATGCTCAATGGAACGAACTATGCTGGGAATAACCAAGAAAGGCCGTAAAAAAATAGAGAGGATACGACAAAAGGCCCAGGTAATAGATGTCATCAACAGAATCAAATCGTTCAAGTGGCAATGGGTAGGACACCTGGCAAGAAGGACGGACAACAGATGGACCACCAAAATTACAGCATGGTACCCACGAGGAACTAAGAGACCTCCTAAAGGAAGACCAAACCTGAGATGGGACCATGATATTAGTAAATTAGTAGAGATAACTTTGGGCCCGTATAGTCAACAACATACAACAAAGGGCCCAATTACAAAAAGAATATCTAAATATGTGAGGGATAATCGGAAATAGTTGAATAAGCTGAAAATGATGATGATGGTAATGATACCGACTGAATCAATATCTGTTTTATAAAAAACAATTTGAGGGTTGATTTTCATTGCGTATTAAAAAACATCTCTCTAAAACGACTCTCCAAAATGTCTGGTTTAATTATCTCGGAGACAAAACTTTTCACACGTACAGTGCCGCTCTTCACCGACACTTCACGGCATCTCGAATTGAATTATAACGCTCTCTTCGCAGTTTAATTAGCAGCAGTAGCTCGCTGACCCTCTTCATCGTCGCCTAGCCCGGCCCCTCTTCAGTCGGAGCCTCTAAAACTCCCCCCGAGTCTAATTATGAGACCTAGTTAAAACAAAGCGGACGACTAGGGGCAATTAGCCACCGTCCGCACCTTAACGACCCGTTATGGCGCAATTGACTTGCGCCGATCGCTTTCAAGTCCCTTTTTTGTCGGCGATCTG